GGGTATTGCTATGCAGTTGTCAAAGCAACAAGCCTGGTTGTTTTCTGATGTGACTGATGAACATAATCTAGTCACAATGTTCCAGTGGTTGCTATGCGGTTGCTAGGGTGTTGCTATGCAGGTGTCAAAGCAACAAGCCCGATTGTTTTCTGATGTGTCTAATGAACGCAATCATGTGTCACACTCATTTAATACCAATGCAATTCCTGATTCAAAATTGAGTTTTAATTGGGGTAGCAAACACAATGCTAAATTTAAATAAGCAGAATTAAAATGAACTGAAATTCAAAAGAAATTCATGCGACTGTCATTTTGAACTATAAAGCAAAAACAATCTTTGAATGTTGGCTTGTTTGAAAGTTTCAAAAGCCTTGAAGTTTCCAGGCCTCGCAGATCAATACATAAACAGATCTATTTATATTTCCAATCCAACTTCCTGTGAGCGGTGGCCAATTCAATTAAATTCAATTCAATTCACACTCATGAATGGAAAGAGCGCCAGTTCTTCAGTTCCAAATTTGGTCTAAAACTAACACACACACACACACCTGCCAGTGTTTTGAGCTCTAGAGAAGCGTTTGCTTTAGTTGCATCAAGACAAAATGCCTTAATTATAATGATGTTTTTCCTACGCATGGAGAAAAGAGCATCTGAAGCAACATATATCATCAAAAGATTCACAAAGCATTTACACAAGAATCATAATTGCAGAAAAAAATCATCAACTCACTGTTTATTCATGTGAACAGCGGACAGAAACCATAGACTAACTCAATGTAGAGACAAGTCATCAACATCAAGATTTGTTCGTCTAATCGCCCAGATTCACTTGGTTGAGTAGAGACGCTAATCTAATCGCTTTTGTTCTTTTTTCAGAAAAAATCCAATTAAATTACAGACTGGACCTCTAGGAAGTTTAATGGAACTCCTGCTCTCTGAACTCAATCAACACTAAATGGGATGAAAGCAGAGACAGGAACATCTGCTGTTCTCTACAGAAAATAAAAATACTGAATGCTAAATCTGCTTGTAAACCATCTGAAGACAAAGATTCAGCCACACGTCAGCCATTTAGTTTGACTTTCTAAATATGGCCTCCATATTCAACAATTCCCAGCTTTTTCATGTCATGGAAGTACAGCTCCTAATCGAAAGGAAAATCTCAGAAGCTTGTCAAGAATACATTTCAATTTATGACAAATATAATGATAAAAAGCCTGTATTTTTCATGCCGATCTGTTTGAATGCACATGAAACCTGGAGAATAGAATCAGCCGGTGATTCTTATAAAAGGTCTTTTAATGACCTGAAAGACCTTCGCTCCCACAGTCGTCATACTGAGTGTTGCAATTTCTCACATATTCTATTTCCGATCAGTAGCAGTGTTCAGTGCAGTCATGAGGAGGTAGGTGTGTGTGTGTGTGTGTGTGTGTGTGTGTGTGTGTGTGTGTGTGTGTGCTGTATCTGTGTGAGTGTGTCTGTGTGAGTGTGTCTGTGTATGTGAGTGTCTGTGTGTGTGTGTGTGTCTGTGTGAGTGTGTCTTTGTGTGAGTGTGTCTGTGTATGTATGTACTGGTTTTTCTATTCTGGATATCCTGGTAACCTGACTACACACAGACTCATGGGGACTCGCGTCACGGTGGGGACCTAAATTGTGGCCATTGTGGCCCCAAAAGCTTATAAATCATACAGA